CCCCCTGGTGGCTACTGGAAGAATTCAGTTTTAAGCTCCATCTATCTTCCTTCTGAAAGCAGCTGAGCCAGAAGCTGACAGTGACGCTCGTCACATAAATGCCCCCATTTCAGAGTCACTTAGACCTTTTCCTCATGACAGCTTGTAACAAAATCAGGATCAGCTGGGTGTGCTCAGCATTTTTACACACTCCACCGAGCATGAATGGATGGTAACTGCTCAATTACAACAGGCAGAGCACCTGTGTGGAAACACCTGCATTCATGTGTTTTTTTAATTCATTAATTTATTCAGATTTTCCTTTAATTTGTCACATGTACATATACAATATGAATATTTCACCACTTCTTAATCTTTAAATCCAGACGACACTCAGGCTTGCCTACAGGTGTTAAGAAACCACAACAAGCAAACATATTAAAAGCTCCTGACAAGCTATAAGTCAAAGGTCAAAGGTCGACACTCCTCCAGGAACAAACTCAGAGATTTGGTCAGCAGAGAGATTATAGTCACAATATTTCTGTGTGTGTGTGTCCCTGTAATGCCTGTATATTCAGCTGTGTTTTTGTGTGTTTTTGTGTGTGCTTGTGTGCCACCTTGATGAAGGCTGTGCAGTATTTACTGGCCATCTTTACGGCTCACCAGACAGCTCAAGATGATCCTGGCTCAGAAATACGACCGACAGCACGAGCCCTCTGAATCTGTCTCTCTCTCTCTCTCTCTCACACACACACACACACACACACACACACACAGTCAGTTGACATGATCGCTTAATATGCTGTCATTACTGTGCGTGTGCCTGGAGACCGTCCAGCTGTGGGGCCCAGTATAAACTCAGCACTGGAGGATGTAAAGAGACGATCACACCGTTAATGTCTCCTACAAATATCTGATGAGTATTGGTATGCAGACCTGTAATGTCTTGCATAAACATATTCTGATAAGAGCGATGCTATTTTATGTATTTTTATCAAATAAAAAGTCTTTTTATTTCACATTAATAATTTACATTTGATTAACTTTTTTCCATAAAACGCTGAACAGTCGCTTTGTTTTTGTTTTTCTGCTTCCATTTCCTCATAATGAGAAAAGATCTAATCTGTGAAATTAAAGAGTTTAGAGCACAGAAATGCAGGAATTGGCCTTTAGCTGAATAAGTCAACGTATTCACTTTATTCATAAAAGGCATCCCATGACTGTTTACAGCCAGATCTGATTTGTTAAGAATCAGCTTAACACAGACTTTGTGTAGACCGACCCGTTTAGCCCAGGATCATCTTAGCAGTCTGAAGATAGACGTCACTTTTGGACCAGCTAGCTGGCTTGGCTAGCAAAAAGCATCTGCTTTTAACTGATATTAATGAGGATGGCAGTTTTTAACTAACTTTGCTGAAAAAATAATCATCTGAACTACCGACAGCAAACACTTGCTTAGTTTAACTTTACACATCTGTGAGTTAAGCTAACAGATATTTTAATTGTACGCAACTTTGATTACAGTGAAATATGGAACATTTTTGAAAGCTATGAGAACCTTAGTGCCTTAACCCTTTAAGACCTACCATAGAACCAAGTCCGCCAGAGCTTATATTATATTTTTACATGCTGTGGAGCCATTTTTGGGAGCA